CTTCAATGGAATACGCCCAGACTGTCTACCGCAGAGGGAGTCTGCCCTGCTCCCTGGCCTGTCTCCTGAGTGGTTAATTCTGCAGTTCTTCCTCCAGACTCTCAGTGGGCTCATCACCAGTTGACCCCAAGTCAGGGCATTGTCAAAATATGTCACAATATCTTGAATTCTAGCTGTTGGGTTTTCCATGAGACACAGGGAAAGAAGAGCAATTCCACATCAAAGGTGTCTAACTCACAGCTCTCAGTGGTATATGTCTGCCTAAGCATCTGCATCACTACCCTTGATACCAAGCTGTTGATGATCTGGAAGTTAAAATTATATAGACATTTCTACCAACAACAATCCAGAGCCTCTGAATGATGCCGGGCACCAGTATGGCTGCTGCTGATTTATATACTTTATCCAGAGCCTCTGAATGATGCCGGTCACCAGTATGGCTGCTGCTGGTTTATATACTTTATTTATACGCTATCCACAAAGTATCTATTTTATGAGGCTTAAGTGCTTAAACAGAGCTGGTTAGTCTACCAGGCCCCTGGTCATCCCCTCTGTTCTCCATGCCTGACACCTCTTTGAATTTAATGGCACATTTCTGGGTCGATATGAAATGGTAACATCCATCCCTTGAGATTTTTCAGTTCTGCAAGGAAAAAGCTTCCAAGAAAAACCGGACACTGTCTTGCAGACGCTGTAAGAAGCATCTGTCATGGGAAGTGTCTCTGACACAAAAACAGCTTCCAGCAATATCAATGGTCATCACCATCCATCACCAAGAAGAGCACTCAGTGTCCTCGAAGGCCCTGGCTTTGGGCTGAGGGCTGAGGGCTGAGGGAGGCAGTGTCATGGACAGGAACCAGAATCCTGATCGATCGATACAGCAAAATATCTTGTCCTCAGAGACAAGATGGAGGAGTGTTGTAAATGCCAAAGAATTAAGATACATCTCGTTCTGGCCCTTCTAATACCAGAAACTTCTGCGGTGACTTAGCAGAATCACAGAATGGCAGGTCATGTTAAGTACTGAGAAGCTGCTGGCCTCCATTCTAGATTTAGTTTTTAAATTTTTATATGACTGATCATCATAACTGAAATGTACATCAAAACTGTTAAAACATATTTTAGAGGTTTGTATTCCTTTACAAAGAAAAAAAAGAATCTGCAATTACTATTTTGCTGTCAAGTCATTAAGGCAAAATGAGTTAAAACTATTAAATTCAATTAAACTACTACATTAGCGTTGAAACTATTTTTGTCATGTTCATTTCATACTTTGCATTTTTTTTTGCTTATTTATTTATTTTTCCTTTTTAGTCCTTTCCTCTCCCCCACCGTCCCTTTGGCAACCATCGGCTTGTTCTCTTTATCTGTGGGTCTGTTTCTGTTTGGTTTTGCTTGTTCATTTGTTTTATATTTTTTAGATTCCACATATAACTGAAATCATATGGTGTTTGTCTTTCTCTTTCTGACTTATTTCACCTAGCATAATATACTTTAGGTCTATTCATGTTGTCGTGAATGGCAAGATTTCGAATTTTTAATGTCATACTCTCTCAAAGTAGTCTTTTTTTTCTCCTGAAAAGTTGATTTTCCACATTGATGAATCTGTAAGAATATGTTTGATGTCACTTTCTAAATTTTTCATTGATCTGGAGTTGCATACTTGCATACTTTGTAGTGCATACCTCTGTTTTCTTTGCTAACCCTGCTGGCAAAAACTGCCCTGTTGGCTTGTACCATGTTGTTGGCTTGTCCATTATCCATGTCAAATTTGGTTTGAAAAAGCCCTCTGAAATGTAGGTCATGGTGAACTCATGTACAGGACAACACTATCCAAACTGTGTATTGAGACGATGGCTGGGCACTGCTTTATAAACAGAGATGCCCTCCCATATTTTCTCTTGACATTTAAGGTATAAACAAAACGGATGCTGATCCTGGAAAGACACACCTCCAAGGTGCCTCTTCCTCTGGGGAAGCAGGTGAGGTGAACGTGTCATTAGAGCCAGTATATTCAGGAGCACAGCCTGTTTTTATTCATTCATTCAGTCGATATTCACTGAGCACCCGTTTACAAGGTGCCAGGCACACTTTCAGGCACTGTGGACACCACCGTGGTACCTGGTTCAGATCTGCTCTTTCCTTAAATCAAGAGTTTCTATGAAAATTTTCAGTGTATGTACCATAGAAAAGGGATGGGCAGACATCAGAGGCAACAGATTTGTCCACGGGGGATACTCCCTAACCTTCTGGGATGGGAGTGTGGCTCAGTCCTCAGGCACACCCAGGGGTGAAAGCCCAAAGCTTGCAGTAGGCCTACTGGGAACATTCAATGCCAATGAGGAGCCAGCCCAGAGGCCGAGGTGGGCAGCAAGGACAGTGACTGCCACACAGGCAAGCACCTGTCCCAGAAAGAAGACCAGGACACCAGGAATGAAAAGCGTGTGTGGGGGGCAGAGATGCGGTGACCAGAAACAGGTCAGAAGAGGAAAAGGACCAAGATGTGACTTCAATGACACACACTCCCTCGGTCATTAAAGGAAGTCGCCTGGCACTCCTTAAGCCAGCTGCCTCCTTGAAGAGCACCTGTGGCTTGGGACTTGGGATATCTACTCTCAAGGCACCAATCCATGTCAGGATCCTAGTCCTAGTTTCCTATCTGCAGGCGTTGTGTCAGCATCAACAAACCAAAGGATGAGGCAACTTTATCGGTCATTTGATGGGGGATCTCTGGAATCTCAGCAGAGAAAGAAAACATTGGGATGGGTGGATTTGGGCTCTGGCATGAATCGAAGGGTTGAATCAAACACACACAGAGGCTGAGAGACCAGGAGGGAATTCTAAACTTGCCCTCTTAGGAGTTTCTCAGATGGGGTTAGTTTTAAGCTGACATTAGAGAAAATTTGCTGTTATGTCAGCAAGATTTATCTTTTGGCAGAGGGATGCTCTGGGAGTGCTGTGGCAGCTCCTTCAGGAATCGGGTCTGGAGGTGGCAGAACCTTGAGGTCAAGTTTAGGAACAGGGAGACAGGTGCATCCCCCCGGGAGAGGATGCGGGCTTACTGTTGGAAGAGAAGGCAGGCCCCTGGGCCTCTCCTGCCAGCCCTCCCTAGCTTTAAGGCTAATAGAAAGACAGAACCAAGGAGCAGACACAAAGGAGCTTGAATTAAACAAAAGGGGGTAAAAGCTGAGGGTAAAAGCTCCTCTCCTTCAGCCCGAGCCCTGCTCCACTGCGGTGGTGTCTCTCTCAGACCCCACACGGAAATCTCTCCCATCAGAAACCCGCTAATCTAATTTCTTCCTCTGCCTCGGCTGTGTCGCGCATTCGGGAGCTTTAAATTTAATAAAGGGAATTTAGTAGCGTCGTCAGCTGCGCATAAAAATCAGTAATGCCGCATTTACTTAGGGATTCAATACAGGCTTTCTGGATACAGTACAGAAATATTGAAGCATGTTTGCCGGGCGCTTTTGAGAATTTATTGGAAAATTAACTTCTGATTTCATTCTCATCTTGGCTAAGGAATCATAAAAATTTCCTTAATACAATTATACATTTTTTGCAACTCCACTACCCTGAGCTTGATTACAGATTATTTGGATTTCATGGTGTGGAGGATGATGAAAATTAAATTAGGTGAAGAGAATGCTGTGCGGTTGTGTTTCTGAAAGCATTCTTATCGGCACGAAAGGTTCACACAGTGTCCCTGGCTCTGGGCCTCCGAAGACGTACATGGCCATGCACTGTCAGCAACTACCATCTTTCTGGAGCAACAAATCCATGCAAATACTTAAGGCATTTACTTTATATTAAAAGGAACATAGAAATATTATGTAGGATTATGCAACCTGCTCATAGAAGACACGTGAAGTCTGGTGGGTCCAGAAATAAACCGAACACTTGCTATAAAACATTGTCTTGCTATTAAAATGTGAGAGGGACGCTGAAACCGGTTTGGCTCAGTGGTGAGAGCGTCGGCCTGCGGACTGAAGGGTCCCGGGTTCGATTCCGGTCAAGGGCATGTACCTGGGTTGCGGGCACATCCCCAGTGGGAGATGTGCAGGAGGCAGCTGATCGATGTTTCTCTCCCATCGATGTTTCTAACTATCTATCTCTCTCCCTTCCTCTCTGTAAAAAATCAATAAAATATATTTAAAAAAAAATGTGAGAGGGAGGATATCATAATGATTAAAACATTGTTTTTCAAGCAGGGAATAAATATTCATTATAAGCTTATGGAAGTAATTTGGTCACAGGTAACCATGTATAAACCCGACTGAGTGTCCGTGAGAGGACCATTCTCTCAGCATCCAGTCCTAAGACTGGGAGAGTAAACAGTCATATCTTTTCTTGAAAGTCAGTTTCTTCATAGAACAGAAAATTGACACAGTGATAGGAGTACTCCCTCCATACCAGGGTATTTTAGGAATGTAGCACTGTAACTTGTGAACGTATTCACTTAGTTTCCAGTATTTTTATGTGTGTTGATTCAGTTGTTCTGGACTGGGGAGGGGGGCATTTTGCCTTGCAGGGTACATATGTCTGGAGGCATTTTTGGTTTTCATGGCTTTGGGGGAGGGGATTGTGTCTGGAGTCTAGTGGGAAGAGGCCAGGAATGCTGCTAAATATCCCACAATGCACAGGACAGCCACCTCATCAGAAAATTATTCAGCCACACCCAACCGTACACTATTGATATTATTCAGAAAAATATCAATAACGCTGAGGGTGATAAACCCTAGCTTATTCTTATCAATATAGTAATATAGTACAGATTATAACAAAATCATCTCTAAACCACTTCATACCTTCCTTTTATGATAATACATATTCTGTGTAATGTATAATAAAATCACACATCACCCTTCTGAACCATCGCTTCAAAGAAACTCTCACACAATGAATTCCAATTCCAATGTTATTGTTAATTTGCATTTACTCAACACACTCACATTATCGACATCCCATACTAAAGGAAGGAGAAAAAGGAGGAAGCCGGTTACCTCTCAAATAAGACCTGGCTGTAGTCGTCCAGGACATGGGCGTGAGTGTGGAGAAAGATGATGTTGTAGCCCACCAACGCCGCCAGCATGATCAACATCTTCAACTCGTAGTTCACCCGCAGGAAAACCGAGCAGGATATCAGCCCCAGAATGCAGCTGTATATAAAGTACTGGGACAGGAAAATGCGTTGAATCAACACTTAGAATCTCTTTTGAGAAATGCTGAAATAAGGATTAAGATTGGGGACCACCACCAAGCTCACTGGTCATCTTACAAATTTCATGGGAAAGCAAATGCCTTTTTCTCCTCTTTGATGCAGTGGTCAATGCCTGCACACATTTGATTTGGAAAAGGATTACTCATTACATGGCTTGCTGACCCAGCTTAGCATGTTTAATAAAAATAATCAGGCATACTGCCAAACAGACATAATTCTTTAAAAATCTATACTGAAGACATATAATTATAAGCCAGTGTCATCTTCTTTTTTTAAAAAATATATTTTTATTGATTTTTTTACAGAGAGGAAGGGAGAGGGATAGAGAATTATAAACATTGATGAGAGAGAAACATCAATCAGCTGCCTCCTGCACACTCCCTACTGGGGATGTGCTGGCAACCTAGGTACATGCCCTTGACAGGAATCGAACCTGGGACCTTTCAGTCCGCAGGCCGACGCTCTATCCACTGAGCCAAGCCAGTGAGGGCGTCATCTTCTTGAAAGTGAAAAAAAAATGAACAGATCTTTTTAAAAATTTTAATACGTAGACTCTTTGTTGGCCTTTCAATTCTTTAATTCTTTAAGTGGATGTAAGTCGTTACTGGTAGTTCTGTTAAAAGGTTAAGAAAGTGTAGACATTTTACTAAAAGAGACATTGTTTGTCAGAAGGACTATTTAAAACAGAAAGGATTTTTAAAACTCGAATCACTGACCAGGGTGAGCCATGAATATCCTGGAAGCAGACAGGCACCGGAAAAAATGGGAAGAACCAAGTGGGAGGGAGAAGCGGGCACCTGCCACCCGTTTAGTCCATTAGAAGCAGCTCAGGCCAGCCTGTTAGCACTGTTCTCACTACTGACCACAGTGGACGATGCTGAGTCAGGACACCCCCGGATTCCATCCTGCCTCACTCATCAGCTGACTCAGGTGAGGTCAGTGACCTCGCCTGCCTGTGGCACAGCGTCGTCATCTGTGAAATGGGGGTAATCGTGTCCTCCTTGCAGGTCACTGAGAAGAACAAGTAAAGCTTGGAGCCCAGAGCCCTGGAAACAGTTGTCATTCTCACAAAGCCTTTTATTTTTTATTTTTTGCTAATATGGTGTTTTTACGAACAAGCAGTTTTGCTACTATATTAGCATTCTCGGAACAGACACAGCACTAGAAAAGTTAGTAACTTTAATAACACACAGATCTGACTGATGTCTGATAAACCCTGTCTGAATAAGACAGCCCACTTTGTAAGCTACTCCACCCCAGTTTCATTGTGTGAACAGAGCCATGTACAATCTGCTTATTGTTGTCATTTTAGCTCTTGCTTTTATTTCCCCAGCTGAGGTCATCCACAGTGAACTGTCTGGAAGCTACTGATACTCGATGCTCATCAGTCCTGTTCTTGGGGAAGAAAGGAAAGTTGAAAATGAGCTGCAGGGGTCATGGTCACCTCATGTTTCCTTCTCTGTACCGATTCTGCTGTTAGGATGATAAACTGGGGCTCTCTGTAAGGTTTGGTTTTCAAAAGGATTCGGCTGAGAAAATTAGGTTGAAAACCATTATCAGAATGAAAGTGATCGACCAGTTCTGCCTAATGGAATGACAAGCAGAATAAGGAGCCACTTATATGAACTCGTGTATCAATGTGTGCATGGGTATTTTTTTGGGTGCAGATAGGATTGTAAAGGTTTTCTGGAGCACCCCTAATTTGATATAATACCTATGCAAACCTGCCTATGGTTTCATATTTTAAAATTCATTTGTAGGCTTTTAAAAAGCTTTCACATTTTGGGGATGGCTACAAAAATACATATGTAAATGGAAAGGAGGCTCTGGGTCCATTTTCTATTAAAACACCTTTCTAGAACTCTTGAAGGCCATGCACAAGGTATGCTGGGAGTTAATGAAAGGTAAGTTGGGACCCTGAATCTAGCCACAGAAACGTGTGCGAATGAGGGGCAATGGCTCCGGGAGGCCAGGTGGGAGGCCTGAAGATCAGCCATCACTGCTGCATCAGGCAGTGGCCAGGGAGGCGCTGGGTGGCCAGGAGTTCCGGCTGTAGCTCGTGAGCTGACTGCTGCTAGGGTCTATCCTAGTAACTTTATTTTTATAGAGTCTGGGTACAGTTAATATTACTATTAGCGCCCTGGCCGGCTTGGCTCAGTGGATAGAGCGTCAGCCTGCAGACTGAAGGGTCCCAGGTTCGATTCTGGCTCAAGGGCACATGCCTGGGTTGTGGGCTCGATCCCCAGTGCGGGGTGTGCAGGAGGCAGCCGATCAATGATTCTTTCTCATCATTGATGTTTCTATCTTTCCTTCTCCCTTCCTCTCTGAAACCAATAAAGAAATATATTTTAAAAAATAAAATAAAAGTCCTCATCTGAGGATTTGTTTATAAAAAAATATTACTATTAGTTAATAATTGTATTGTTGTTTATTAATATTTAAATTAGCAATCATTAATATTTTAATTACTGAATAATATAATTTATTAATACTAGTTAATATTTTACCCTTTACTACCCCCCTACAACTCTCTTCCTTCTGGCAACCACCATACTGTTGTCTGTGTCTATGAGTTTTTGGTTATTTCATAAAGTAAATAAAAATATTAGTTGATATTAAGTTAACTAAGATTATATAGTTATAAGCACTTTTAATATAGTTAATCAATGACATTAACTTGTATTTTAATACCTATGGAACAGCCACTGGCATCTTGGCCTTCTACTTAAGACGCCTTTGGCCTCAGTTCCCTCACCTGGAAAATGGAAATTCCAATAATATCTACCTCAAGGATAGTTTCCCAATGAAATGCTATAGATGCCTGGTAAAGCACAGAGTGCCTACATGGCAAAGATCCTTGATGAATGATTTCGTTGGGTATTTAAAAACTAGCTTTTTTCTGCTACAGCAATTATAAACTGATGTTAAAAATTAGGAAATATACAAAGCACACATATAAAAATAAGGGTCTCCTATAATCCCCAACATCCAACTTGAGCCTATTAATTATTTTGTCTATATCTTTCCAGCTTTTTTTCTACTTATTATTGGTACAATTATTTTATAAAATTGGGTTTATACTGTTTTGGTTGTTTTTAAATGATACTTTTCAATTAATAGCATCATAAATATATATTTCTGTGTCATTAAATATTTTTCAACATCTTTTGTAATGGCCGGATGTAACTAAATAACAATTTATTTAAATACATTTATTTTATCTTTCAGGTTGCTTTCTTTCTTTTACTTTTTTTTTAAACAAATATATTTTTATTGATTTCAGAGAGGAAGGGACAGGGAGAGATAGAAACATCAGTGATGAGAGAGAATCATTGATTGGCTGCCTCCTGCACCCCTCCTACTGGGAATTGAACTCGAAACCCAGGCATGTGCCTTTGACTGCAATTGAACCTGGACCCTTCAGTCCACAGGCTGGTGCTCTATCCACTGAGCCAAACCAGTTAAGGCTCTTTTACTTTCTTGTTTATTGTTGATGTTACATAAACACTCGAATGAATGCTTTGTAGCTAAGTCTGTGCATCTTTAAAATTAATTTCCAGAATTAGTACTGCAGTATAAAAAGTATGTCTGTGTTGTGCTTTTCGAGAACTATTAAATTACCACTAAGAGGTTATATCACTTTGTACCACCCACAGCATGAAGGGGACTCTCCCCATCCTTTGTCAGCCTCAGATATCAAGGAAGATGGGGTTTGAGAGGAATAAGGCACACTTTGTGCCTTTCCACAAAATGGCTTTCCTAATATTTCTAAAAATATTTTAAGGGGGAAGATGGGGTGTTTCCCGGCTCCCCTGGAACACCTAAACTTGCGAGTTAATAAAGCAGTCTCTATACAGGCAGCCCATGAGCACGCGGGGCTTCCTGGGCGAAGCTCACCATAAACCTCTTCTTGAGGACTTGCTGTTGGAATAATAGTGGCCTGTTGACTAATTGGGGCCTAGATTTTAAAGAGCCTATTGTGTATTTTTTCAGGATCTTTTAAGGTTGAGTAAATATTACCTTTCCCCATCTTGGGTTTCTAATGATTTTCTCCTTTTGAAAATAAGATGTCATACAGACTTACCTAAATGAAATTCAGAATGATCACCCAATTGCCGTTCGTGGTGCCAAGCATGGTGAGTCATTCTACCCAAAAATATTGGATGGAGAGATTTAAAAAAGTGCTTTGCTGGCTATGCTGTTCTTTCCTATGAAAATGCATCTTCAAAATGTTAAACTTAAAGTGCCCTGTGAATGTCACATGAGGACAGCTTGGAGTCACTCTCCCTCCACTGTCCTATGGACCATGTGTACTAATGCCATCCATTCAAGGATGCCCAGTGAGGACACAGCCAATAAGTCATCATGAGACCCATCTCTCACCAGTCACATAACTAATATAGAAAAGATGGTGTCTAATCCTCATGGGGGTTTAATGCCTAAAACGAAGGCCAGGACCCTTTGGATAAGGGACAAAGCTTATGCTATCCTCTCTTCCCGAGCCCACAGGGAAATTCCTAGGGACCCTGGTCACCTTGCCTTTGAAACAGCCATGGCCTCAAAAGAACACCAGACACCCCTACTCTCTGTAGGCAGAGCAGTGAGCTTCCCAGAAAACTGAAATGGCAAAAAGTATCCAAGCCAAATGTCACCAGAACAAATCAGCGAAAAGAGAATGAGGTAAGTAAATCACCTTTATTGCCATTGCTAGTGGAGTTTTAAAAATTGGCAGGACATTTTAAAAGTGCACATATTAAATGACCAATTTCAGTCTCCAAACTAGTTCATTCAGCACCCTCAACACAGAAAGTAACTGTTAATAATTTAAACTACGTTCAGATGATTATTCATAAAATGAAAAGGAGAGTATCAGAAGACTTTTTTCCCCCCACAAACAATTCATGGGTAAGACCTATTAAGCAGTAAATAACTGATTTACCTCTTTTTACTTAAAACACTGACGTGTTAGTCAGTTTTAAAATTCCAATCTAAGCCTTTTTGGACATTGGTTAAAATGAGTCAGTTTGTAAGGGTTATCTGAGGCTATAGTCACTGGACGGTATTGCAGCAGAGGCAGAGAGAGGAGATGTGGTCCTGTGATCACAGCATCCAGGAGCCAACAAGAATTCACTGGAACAATTCACAAAATTTATGAGCAAGGAACCCAGGAATTCAGTGACATGTAATTGAATGCCAAATGCTGGGATCCATGCCATGAAATGCACCAGTTTAGAGAATAAAGGCAAGAGTCACCTGTGAGAGCAGCAGAATGACATTGCGACTTTGCTTTTGTGCCTGGCGGTGCCAGCCAGCCAGGACTTCTCTTAAGAAAGGCTGGTGGGCCCTAGCCGGTTTGGCTCAGTAGATAGAGTGTCGGCCTGTGGACTGAAGGGTCCCGGGTTTGATTCCGGTCAAGGGCACATGCCAGGGTTGTGGGCTCTATCCCCAGTGTGGGGCCTGCAGGAGGCGGCCAATAAATGATTCTCTCTCATCATTGATGTTTCTATCTCTCTCTCCCTCTCCCTTCCTCTCTGAAATCAATAAAGATATATTTCAAAAAAATAAAAGAAAAGAAAAAAAAGATAAAAAAGAAAGGCTGGTGGTTCTTAAGCGGTCTGGACCTACTCAGGTACTGACACCAAAGAAGAAAAGTGAAGTCCAGTACAGGTGAGAATTCGGAGGCCATATCATCACACAGGTGAAAAACAATAAAAGCCACCCAGGAAAGCAATAAAAGCCATACTAACGAGGAAAATGCTCTTACCGGAAGAAAAAACAAGCTTTGCGCACGCAGAATCGCTGCCTGATTATTTGAGGCAGAAAGACTTGTGTTTGATGTATTGGTAGTTGGAGGGACTGTTTCCTCTGGGTCACTCAGGAAAAACTGCAAAGAAAATGTTTGTTTTTCAATGAATTAGTGCAAAGGAGACGGAAGGGTTAGTAGGCGGTGCTGTTTATTGGGGCCTGTGTGTCACCCGCAGTCAGCAGGGCTATGTGGGCAACCCAGCACCTATGCTTCAGATGCCAGTGGCTCCATCCGCTTTTCAAACTGTGAGAATTTCTACTGAATAAGTAAGTGACTATTCATTGTTGTGCTCTGCACTTAATAGTGAGGTATAGAACTGCAGGATTGATGTTAAAGAACACACAAGCACCTCTGTTAAATATTATATTAAAACTGGCTCGGTTAGAATTACATTTGAGGTTGACATCACCACGCATACAGACACCCAACTCCCTGTCCTGAAATGAAAGCCTTTGGGATATGTTTTCAGCCTCTTCACCATCTTGCTTCAAACATTAAATGAGTCAATGAAGTTTATGAGTTTTTGATTTAAGAAAAAAAAATTAATTTTATGAGCAAAATGCAATAACTGGTATCAACATCTTATCTATTACTTGTGAATGCTTGGCAGCTCAGGGTTACAGGGGATTAAAATTCAGAGGATGCATAGTCTTAGCACTGTTGGAAAAAGGATCCTATTTTCTTTTCTTTTTTTAAGGTAATTCTGAGAAAACGATACTAGATACAGTGTTTCTACCCATGATATCATTTGGTAAAATCAAAATGCTGATTTGAAAACTCAAATGTTGTAGATTTCTTTATTTACTACCAAAGAATTTGTCAAAAATGTCACAACCCATCGTTGAACTATAAATGTGCTAATTCTTTGGGAAAACTTATATCAGAAAAAAAGTTTGAACAGCAAAGGTAAACATTGGGCTTCAAAATGTTACAAATTTATATTTGACAGATCCCAAATAAAATTTATTTAAATACCAAAGAATAAAAAAAAATAAAAAATAGAAGGAGATAGTTTAGCTTGTAGGTTACTAGTCTCAAGGACCTGGGATCTTAAAATTATTAACCAAAATATCTTGATTATATCACTCTATAGAGAAGAAAATAAATTCTTGCTGTACAATGGGTAGAAGTACATCCTGTGAAAACGCAGTCTTTCAAGGAGGCTCTACAATAAACATGATGGTTTAAATTTGAAAACCAATAGAGAAATTCAATAGAGAACTTCAATCACTATGCCTAACAATGCTCCATTGAGCCCCTTTTGCACACACTCTCTCTAGTATTTATTAACTACCCCCAAATCAAGAAACTCTTCATTGTGTCTATATGACATCACACTGCAATTTTGAGTCAATTTCCCCAGTCTGTCTTCTTAGTCACTTTAAAATAACAAACTCATGTCATCCTCTATATAGCCAGGCAAATCCTCGATTATTAATCCCACGTTTCTTTCCATTCCAGGTTAAACTGCCACAACATTCTCCACAGAATGAATTTCTAATAATCATAATTATTTGAGGAACTCCTCTCTAGATCAATTTTAACATTCATCAAACTTTGTCGTCATTAGGAAAATAATATCTTCATCCTGGACAAGATGTCCTCATAAAGGGCCTGTGAACACTACATATTTTTACCTTCACTTCCAAATTTTACAATTTTCAGAAAATTTAAAACCTCTCAGAATTATGTCTTCCAAGCAATATTAAATTATGAACATGCAATGTAATATTGTTTTATGCCTGATGACATCATTGTGCTTTGCTTGTCATTTGGTTGGAATTAGAAGTCTGGCTAGACTACCAGTGGACTAAGGCTAATCCTGGGCTAGGTGGTTCATAAAGCTGTTATTGATTGCATTCTCTGGGAAGTTTCTCAGAAGAGATTGCAAAATGACGTGGGAAGTCACAGGATGACACTGTCAAAATGTCAGAAAAAATGGCAGAGGATTTGAGCTTCTCATACAGGTTAAGCCAGCTGGAACTAAAATGGAACAAAACACGTAGGTCACTCACTGGCAGTTTGATGAAACTCTGTATTTGATCAAAATCTGGATAACTGTTTCCTCCACTTTTTATTGGGGTGTATGGTGTTACATAGATGAGTATCAGGTGTTTAAAATATCCTGTTAACACCTCACAGTTCATTTTCAATACAACTGACCTGGGTGTTTTGTCATTCATATCACTGTGTGTTGAGATTTTAAAAGCCAGCCCCTCTGAGACACCGTTCCTATTGACCCCCTAAGTGCTGTTAAAATGCAGGTGCCATGTCCCCAGATATGAGTGAGTGACCTGGGAGCCCACTTCCTTTGCATGTCACCTCACTGTGCTCAGTTCTGATTGGCCAGTGTCTGAATCTGCATCAGCACCACTGGGTGACGAGCATGACCCAGAGTAGTCACATCACCTTACAGTGTGGCTGGGGACAGGACCCTGTGTCTGCTTCATGTAGTCCTAATTCAAGAAGGTGTGGATCCGCGTAGCTGGACAACATTCCCTATAAATCTGCAGCTGTGACGAAAGCCAGCCCTCGCATGAATAAACCCTTCCCCTTCTGTGATCAGTAAGCTCCATAGTTATTCTCTAGTAAGAGAAAAATTAGTTCCTTTCTGTACCAAATGTCTGCTTTCATAGTATTTTATGATGATTCTTTGAAATGAATATATGAGGAGCTCAGATGGAGAACCACCACTCATTTCAGGGCCCCAGGTATCAAGGAAAATGCTGTTTCTGCTGCATGGATGGGGACAGCACCTGCTTGAGTGGTTCTGACTTCCTCTCCCTCTCCACTGGGCAGAGAAAAAGTACTCTTGTTTATTCCTCGCCCCACAGCCTGGGCTGCCACAGAAGGGAGCTCAGTATGTGTAGCAAAACCTTATTTCCTTTCTCTCTCACACATCACCCATCATAGTTTTAGCATGTCTTCTAAAAACTTCTCTATCTCACTTGGCAATAAATTCCTTTCTTTGTGAGGAAAAAGTGGCCCTGGAAGATGTATTTCTGGTACGGAAGATGTATCTCTTCTCTCCAAAGGGATCATAGTTACTGTGAAACCAATCTCCCAAATGCTCAGCTCATCAAACATTTAGACATTGACTGAACTGCCTGTCAACCATTACTACTTATCCTTTGTGAAATACAATTAGCTTATAAAACTGATTTGTTTCCCACGTAGATTCTGTCATCAAAAAATTAGGTGATACATCTTGATTTTATAAGGTCAAACTGGATTTTACCAAAATAAATGGTTGCTTTCTGGAAGGGTTGTGTGCTTACCTGTTCATTCACTCATTCTTTCATTCAGTAACTATTAAGTAGCCACCCCTTATATGGAAGGCACTTTTCTAGGTGTATGATGGTGTGTTAAAGGTCTTGTTCTCATAACTTGTATGGGCAGCCAATGGAGAAGGTCAACTCTCAGGAAGTGTGTTTTATGGGCTCTGTGCCTGCCCAGGTGAGTGAACACACTCTTGGGGGACAAGAGGGATGATAAGGGGATTGCGGCAATCACCCCTTGCAGAGTGAACACCATGTGTCTGTTAGAATTACTGAGACCTCTAGCTAGTGGGCCCTGTGGTCATAGCGTTCTGTCCCAGTCCCTCATGGTGGAGTTTGCTAGTAATTCTGACCCATCTGTCTCCTGCAGTTTTATTTCCAAAACTCCCCTTGGAGCTTGTTGGTCGCTCTCCTGGAACTGGGAGCAGTGGGGCTAATGCACACTTGCATGCTACCAAGTGGAGCATGAGGACATTTTAGGAAACACACTCATGTTTCTATAGGCTCTCACTCCTCCCTGCCCTTGGCCTCTCTGTTCTTCTTTCTCCCTTGTGATGCTTTCACACCCTTGCAATAACCATAACGTTGCCTGTGCAGAAAGTTTAAGTATCCTAATGGCTACTAATACATAAGCAGACAGGCTCCAGGAAATACCTCTTGTCTCAGTCTTGAGTCCCTCATCTCACGTTCCCCACCCAGTGCTCTGAGGACAGCTCTGGAGCCACCATCTCAATCCCCTTGGGTCCTCTCACAGAAAGCCTGTAGGTCTGGGCTCCTCATAAGCACATGCCTCAGGTTGCCTGACTACTTAGGTCCTTGCATTTTAAAGTCCCACTAAAGCAGGGTAGTTCTAGAGGGAATTACTGGAGGTCCTGACATGGCACAGTTTTCTAGTTGTCTGCCAGTCAGTCTGGATCAAGCTCTTGTTGGAAATAAATGTCATGGTCCAGGTATGCCTGAGACCTAGAAGACGAGGCCCCACTCCTTAAGGGAGGTCTCATGATGCCTGCAGTAGAAAGATAGGCCTCAGCTGCTGTGTATGTCCAGGAGGAGGGGAGAAGAGCTTAGTGCCACTCACTCATTTTATAGTGGAGTTCCCAGGATGGTGGAGTTCCCAAGGTAAACTTGACACATCAAGAAAATCCACATTCCTTGGGGAACCTGAGGCTGTGTGGGCTTGACTGCTGAGCCACAGGCACCATTAGTTCTAACTGCCTACAGAGGCAAGCCTCTTCCATGAGCTGATCTCCAAGACTATGCAGGGGGCAGAAGTCACACCTCTCACTAACCCGTGACTGGGGAGGCCCACATTAGGTCTGGACCTCATGTCCTTTCTCAGGGAAGCTCCCAGATAGAGTTGGGGGGCATGTGGTCAGGTGAGGTATGGAGAGCTAGCATGCCTGTCCTGTAGTTGACCATGTGGAGAAAATACAGGAATCTGAACACGTAGGAACCCATACACCCACCTCCTGATAGCACTGGAAGTAGCCAGAAGAGGGCAAGCTATGGCGTCTCTCTGACTCCCCCTTTGCAGGTGTCCTTAAGATCAACTTCGCAGCACATGAAGAGGCTATCCTGACTGGCACCCCAGTCCATCTGGCTTCCAGTTAGCATCACCCTCATTGGAATCTCTAGGTGTGTGTCAGGAGAAGCTATTGGCTCTATAGTTTAATGTTGAGAATTGAGCCCAAGTCAACATTCAAGATCCTTATCTATTTCCTCAGCTTTATATTCTACTACTTCTTAATACAAATGGCTGCCCTATTTCTAGTCCTAGATGACAAATGTCTTCCCTCATTCTCATCTCTCATGCACCATCTCACATACTCCTTCTACCCATCCTTTATAATTCAGTCCAGCAGGCCCTGCTGTCCCTGCCCCTTGTCTCCTCTCTACACACCTCTGTGGCCCTCAGACTCTTTATAGCGGGTTTACCTGCTGCCCGTGTCCTAGGCTCCACCATGAATGTCTGGAATGCAGAGAACTCTCTTTGGCTGCTGAGCATCTAGCAAGGTATCAGGCACATATTTATGCTTAATGAATATTTTTGGTTGAATGAATGCTGTCTCATTTATGAAAACTATGTCTTATCGTGTAATACATAAACTCTATCTTCTCAACCGGATTTTATGCTTCTGAAAGGCGAGGACTGTACCTCACAAGACCCTGCAGTTCCAATAACTAGCAAAGCATCCAACATTTGAAATACATTATGCTTTATGGTTAATGATGGTGACGTCAGGATAATGATAAGGATGTGTCTCAACGTGCACTGATCACCCACCTGCCTATTTTAAGAATATAGCAGTCATGATTATATCAATATAGTAAGAGCCACCATTGGTTAAATATTTACTAAATGACTGGTACCATCCTAAGTGTGGTAGAAACATCAGCTCATGTACCCTACAACCACCTTGGCAGTGAAGTGTCAGTTCTCATTTTTGAAAAATGGAAATGCAACCCGTGGAAGTTTAAGAAAACTCTCCAAAATCACACAGCTGATAATGTGGGAGCTGATGTTTGAAATTAGTCCTTTTAAACTCCAGAGCACGATGCCTCTGCCACTGCACTTTCCTTAATTTGATGGTTCTGTTACTCCTCAGTGATTATCTGCTGACATTTAGTGTCATTTCCATGCCCGAGAGCCCCACAGAGCAAGAAGTTGGGAACTGCTGGGAGGAGCCCCTCTCTCCGTGGCTCTAACAGAGAGCATTCTTTTTCTTACAGAGGCTGCTGTTGCTGTGGATGGATGTTGAATTTAATAGGCAGAGATTGGTGCTGCCAAAGCAGCTACAAGCAAGGTTTGGAAATCCCACTAAGACAAGCCCTGGAAGCAAAGAAGTCCCTGCCTGGTAGGAGCTGTGACTCACCATGTTGAACACGGCCATGGTTAAAATGATGGCCGTGGTGATGACCGTGAGAGAGATCCGCGGCCAGGGGCGGTTCGCGATGATGCCTGATGACTTTAAAAGCCACAGGAGAGAGGCAGATGCCTTTTTGCTGCATTGCTAGGAAGAGAGAGAAAGAAATAAAGAAAAAGCATTGCTATTTTATGTATTCTCTCAAGTTTGTTAATGATATTTAAAACCACAAGATGCACCAATATTCTTCCAAGAGTAGACAAGTAGGCTCTGTCCTCTGGTGGGGGCTCAGACCAGATCACACACCTTGTTACGTTATGTTGGCATCACTGTTACAAAGTAAGAATAGATTAATTAAATTTTTATAATAAATGTAAGTTGCGACTATCTGTCCTTTAAAATAGATCTAAAATTATATTTAAAAAAAATCTGGTAAAGAAACAAATATGTCAGTTAATTAAACCATTCTGTGGGATGTGTTGGGGCTCAGATCACAGCTATGATGAAGCAGTTGTCATAAATTTAGCCAATCTATGTAGAAAACAGACCAACATGTAGCTAATCATAGAAATACAACTGTCAAATACTACTAAGTTAATACAATGGTAAAACTTGTGTGACCTCCATAAAACTCAAACAGAGAATACTCCTTGACAGCTATAATAAGCAGCACTTTTATTTCTCTACATTTTTCACATCTTCTTTCTGCTTTATTCTCTCTCTCTCTCTCTCTCTCTCTATATATATATATATATATATATATACATATACACACATATATGCATATGTACATATATATTTCTTCTGTTAAAAAAATCAATAAAATATATAAAAAAAGAATTAAATGAGATTCTATAATAAAAAGTGAGAGATCGATAGGTGAGCTTAAAGAACAAGCCCAGCGGCCCAGCATCACACCCCCATTGTTGTGAGACTTTCTGCAAGTTAATTTCCCTCTAATTCTCCCAGGTCCTTCTCTGATTTCTCCTAGAGCCTGTCTGGAAGCATGAGCTGCCCTGCACTCCAGGGGCTGCCAGCAGCCGAATCTCTGGCTGGTGGCAGGAGGCACACACAGTGGGGCTCTGGAGGGCATTTTCCCACCAGCAACAGGGGAGGAGCCAGATTTGTACCTCAGGCTTCTAAAGAGCAGGATTTGGTGGTGGCATTAAATATGTCATCCAATAAGATGCACTTTCATGCTCTGAACATGCAGTGTCCTGGAGGGTCACAGAGCTGGAGGACACCCACCCGAGGATGCTTACTTATATCATTATCATTTAATGCATGCTACTTTTAACAATTTACTACCACAGACCCTAATCAGATTTATATTCTGGAGGAGAAACTCTAACAAAGTGTAAAAAGCAGAGATTCAATAAAATGTCGTAGTCATCTATTAGAAGATGATGGCATTTGGTTTGATTTTGGTAAATTAATATGTATCTGCATCTTAATCAACTAGAATTAGTGTTTTTGTTTAAGAAAGAATTGTTAAAATCAATGATTTTGGGTCTGTACACAGGAGTTATCAAAAAATTTGATAATAAATATGTTTAAGGGCAGAAATGCAAAATTGTATTACTCTAGGAAAAATTTAAAGCCAGCTCAGATTCCATATCACTCTTAGGTGAAATATTATCTAGTTATTGCACAGACTTATTTTTGAAATTAAATTATTTTGTTTAAATTTTAGAATTATATATGATGATAATCTTGCCAAATGAGCTATCTAATAGGAATATGTTATACTCTGAGCAGAGATTAGTCGCTTACTGAGACAGATGTGGGCAGACACACGTGAAATTGTTTCTGCTCCTGCAACATGCTGGGCAGAATTACAAATCGGGGTCCACGTGTGGCTACTGAACATGTGGCAGGGTATCCGGGAACACCTTCACGCTCCTATTTACCCCTAGAAAGAAAACACTTGGGGCACCTCACTAAAGACCATGGGTTTGGCACGCACTGGGTTCAGGATAATGAATTTAGGATGTAGTAGGTTCAATTCAGTCTCCTGTTCAGTCTTCATGTATGCCTCAAAGTACCCCCATGCAAGCATTTTTAAACTTATGAGAAATATTCATTGCTATCAAGGTCAGGGAGGCAGGCAGCCACCCCAGTCTTTTCACTCCTGTGACTGAGTTCATGCAGAGTGAATAGAACTGAAATATAAAGATTTGTAAGCATTGCTGGTGGCAAGGACAAAGAAACAGAAGATAAGAGATGAGTACGCTGAACTATAGGGACATTTGGGGAAGAAGAAGAGGGAGATAAAGATTATGGAAGCAGAAGGAACCAATAATGAAGAAAAGAGGAGAAAAAAAGACCAAGATCTTAAAATAGAAAAGATCTGACTAAGGAAAAATGGGAACATTGATTTGATTTGAAGTCCTGAATAAAAATTACAATTGGATCTTGACATGATCATTTACTTCAGTTTATTCTGTTTTGGGTTAAGTATTCAAATAAAGTCCTGGGTGCAAAAATAAGTTTATCAAAATTTATACCATCCTAATGAAAGGTCCTATATAATAAAAGTCTAATATGCAAATAGACCGAATGGGGAACAACTGAACAACTGGTCGCTATGATGTGCACTGACCACCAGGGTCGTGCGTGGAACATGGCGGGCATCAGCCGCGGCGGGATGGTGGAGCAGGTGAGCGGGAGCGCCAGACCAAGGTGGGGCACCGGTCGCTGTCATCGGGGTGAGCCTCTGGTGGTTACTGAAAATTCTTTGCTCCTGCATGCCTAGGTCCTGCCCAGCACTTGCACCTGCTGCTGGCGCTGGAGCCTCTGCTCACCGTTTGCACCCACTGTCAGTGCCGGCCCCACTCGCACCCACAGCCAGTGCCAGAGTTGCCACTTGCACCCACTGCCGGTGCCTGATGCCGGTCCTGATTGCTCAGCACCATTAGTGGGTGCAAGCAGCAGCTGCTGGCCCCCATCATCCCTCAGGGCTTCTCTACCTCCCCCTGCTCCTGAGGGGTGATCAGGGCCAGCAGCCGCCACTCACATCCACTGATGGTTCTGGCCCACTTGCACCCGCTGCTGGAGCCGAACCAAATTGCTCTGCACCATCAATGGATGCGAGTGGGGCTGGCACTATTAGTGTGTGGGAGCAGCAGCAGCGGGAGTGGGGCTGCCGGCAGAGAGGGGACCGGGGGCCGCGTGGGAGGGTCCGGATGGGGGCACGGAGGTTGGACCAAGACCCAGCCGTATGCACACTGCAGCCTTGCGGCCCACAGTTCCTTTAAAGGTGCACAAATTCATGCACTGGGCCCCTAGTAAATAATAATATCTCAAAGAACATTTCAGCATTTATTCAGAAGATGCGACTTATGGAAATGAGCCCAGGTTAGTCACTCTAGTTGATCTTTGGCTTAATTACTGGCATAATATTACCCAACTCTGTTTCCTCCCTCTCCTGATCATCAGTGGGTCTCACTGTATCCTGTGTTTGGCTCTTACTTACAGTGAGCTCACTGTGGGCCTTCTAGCAATGCTCTGGCTGTCAATGCTACACCCACTGACAAATTTGGTATTAGTACTAAATGCAGTGGGAGATGTAAAGGAAAAATAATATAAATTTATATGAAAACCCTATCATAGAGATGGTGCTGGGGAAAATGAGCAGTGTGGTTTGCTAGAAAGGGTATAGGGTGAATGTCAATGTTCTTCATTCAGTAAAGGCAAAATATTCTCCACAGAAAAATACAATAAAGTGTTCATGCACTGTATTTGTGTAAAAAAATATTCCCACCAAAAATGTTTCCCTTCCTTTCTTCTTATTTTTATTTTTTAATGTTTTGCACTGGAAACAATTGGTAGTCTCTCACTCTAAAATACCGTATAATTTAATGCAGTAATTATAAAAGCTTTTGCAGTTTCATTAGTGTCCATTTAAAAAAATAAAATTAAGTACCTGGAAATAAGTAGATGCTTATATCAAGTGAAGTTTTAATTCAGAACAACATTCAGAAAAATTATAACTATGTCAGAGTGGCTGAGTAACAAGCTTGCATTATTAGAAACACAAAACTTATCTTAAAATCTTGCCTGACAAATATGGTGAAATTTATCAGATAAACATGTACTTTTGTGTATTTGCCTAGAGGAACACCTTCTTTGGCATTTAGTTGGCCAAGGACTATATTTTTGAATGGCAGCGATAATTACTAGTAACAGTTAATGTCACAGAGACTGCCATGTGTGCTTTGATTACTTAATTGTACTTGAATTTCTTTCAGAACGAATGCTTTATTTCAATCAATCATATTTTACAAAATCAACCCGTTTCTTTTGTACTTCCTGAGTGAGCCACATTCCTCCGTCATTCACCCACTTCGTGGCACTCACAGCCTGTCCACATCGTATTGTCTTTGCTGAAATGCTTATCTCTGGCCACAGGAAGAGCTGGTTGAGAACAGTGACCACATCACCCGGGTCTTTGTCCTCCCACAGGCAGCACAGTGTTCAGCGGCTAGTAGAAACTCAATAGATGATTACTCAATACATTCATTGTCTTCATGATGAACCCTAAAGGAAATTCCCAAGGGCCAGAAACAAAGAAGCAGCTCAGTACTAGAGAAACAGTGTCCTGGGACTGAACACAGGGAAGAAGATGGTGCCTTGGGTCTGCAAATGGTGGGCAGCTGGAACCAAGACCCCTGAATAAAACCAGAGGCCTCAAAAGGCTGTTCCCTCCATGTAAACAAGTCTAGAAGAACTCCATGAATTGGTTGAGGGAAGCACTAATAAACTTTAATGACAAATTCAAACTCTAAATGGAGGTGTTGGGTTTGAAATTACATGATCTGCTTCATAATGAGAATTTCAAGTTGAGGGGTTGTTAATCAGTTCAAAAACCAGAAGAAGTCTTTGGGGCTGTGGCAGAAGAAAGAACAACACTGCTTATAAATGACTCCTGGTGCACATTTGTGGAGGGCGGGGGTGGTGGGGGAGGGTCCCTCAGCCTGGCCTGTGCCCTCTAACAGTCCAGGACCCCCGAGCGGTTTGCCAGCTGTGAGCCCAGCTTCTGGCTGAGTGGTGCTCCCCCTGTGGGACCACACTGACCACCAGGGGGCAGCCTTGCATTGAGCATCTGCCCTCTGGTGGTAAGTGCGTGTCATAGCAATTAGTCGTTC